TCCATGTCTTCTCCTCTCAATGACATTTCCACGAGTAGAACCATTGGTCAGTCTCTTGACCGTTACTTGACCCATCGGGATGAACATGTATTATAACATGCTTAAATCTTGCTCCATCGTGCGAGTACTGGAACACCAACACCCAACATATATATGGTCGACACACTTCAAGTCCATGCCATTTGGCAATCAAGAAGAAGTCGTTTATAAATATGCAGTACAATTTACTTTTAAAATCAGTTTTTTCGAAAATTAACTGTGTCCATATCATTTTACCTAGTCTGTCTCGCAGTCCCTGAACCACCTTATTTTCCTTAATGTCTAACGTTAACCCTCCCTGCAATGCCTAAACCCTACATAAAGCAAATCTAGATTTCCCAGGATTCTCCCAACTCACTGGGGCTCCTTTTCAATTTAAATGGGTTTACTTGTTAAAATCAAAATTGTACATTTTCAGGGACCAAGCGTTAGTCTACATTTTACTGTATTCGATCAAAAGGAAATGCCAACTTTAAACAGACGACATGCATATTGCTGGTTCTTGATACGAATAACAGACTGACGTACAAAAGTGTTTGATTGTGACTGGTTACTGTTTCCAAACACCACTAATATCCTTCAGTGTTGTGCGTGGAATATTCATAAAAAATCATACTTTTGTAAAATCGCACGAATCATAAATTGACATCATTGTTCTTGTAGTCTGAGACTTCACAGTTTTCAGTGATGTGGAACAATCACGGCCAGGCAACCGTCAGTGCTATAACATATGTATGGATCTATCAGGTTTGGTGTCTCTAACGGTCATGCCTACAGATCTCTATTACATGACTCGACGTTCTCCGAGGCGCTGGTGGTAGCGTCTGTACTGTTTGTATTGTCTGTGTAGCCTACTGACCAATATTCATGAGCCATACGACGGAACACCAGAGACGTTGGTCCTCGCCATCCTATCTTCATACCTGCACTTCCAGCCCCATTATACACATCGTGAAAACACTGGCGAGAATTTCTTCTCGCGAGGTTTTAAACGTATGTACCTCCTGACTGAGCAGTGAGTAACATGCTTATGATCGGAATCGTGCAACGGACTCTGGTTTTAGAAGCGACTTCTTATGGTTGTTGTCGCTTTTTTCTAAAAGAAGCTTCAAGATGTTTTCAAACAGTAACGGGCTATTTGAGTGCGATATCACACTTAGATTATTAGTATATAATGCCATCACAGGGCACATTGTCGGAACAGTACATCTATCGATTGGTAAAGCTGCATGTTTCGTTGGTAAGGTTTATTGTTCGGAAACATTACATTGATGTAGACACGTCCGTATTGAGACTGTACTGTTGCAGCATGTTGGCAATAGCTAGGCCTACTTGTAATTGTCAACATGTTGGCAATAGCTACTTGTAATTGTCACTTGTAATTGTCAACATGTTGGCAATCGCTAAAGCCTACTTGTAATTGTCAACATGTTGGCAATAGCTAGTACAACTTGTAATTGTCAACATGTTGGCAATAGCTAGACCTATTGTCAACATGTTGTAATTGTCAACATGTTGTCAACAATTGGCAATAGCTAGGCCTACTTGTAATTGTCAACAGGTTGGCAATAGATAGGCCTACTTGTAATTGTCAACAGGTTGGCAATAGCTAGGCCTACTTGTAATTGTCAACAGGTTGGCAATAGCTAGGCCTACTTGTAATTGTCAACAGGTTGGTAATAGCTAGGCCTACTTGTAATTGTCAACAGGTTGGCAATAGATAGGCCTACTTGTAATTGTCAGGTTGTGTATCCTTCCATGCAGTTACACCTAACATGATTTGCTTTGTCGATTGTCAAACGCCACACACAGCAATATTCCAGCCATATGACTGTGGTCAATAAGTAATAGAGTCTAGACCAGGCAATCCAACAATATCGTAAGCATCAATGAAGTCAGCGAGCCTTACCACCCATTCCCAATTCTTAGTCGCCTCTTTAGATAAGCGTGGGTTGCTGAAGAAGGCTTGTAACCCGGATCTTCACAGGGCACTCACGTCAAATCTAGCCTAGAGTCTACACACTTCCTTTCCTGTGCTTTATGAATGCACAGAGTCCATATACTGTGTCTTATGAATGTACGGCTTGTCAAGTCTGGCCTGTTAACTCCTGTAAGTTGTAATAAAGTCTGTGAGTGCTCGGGCCCAGCCACAATCCCCTATCTCTACAGTCGCGTTATTCCATCACTCTGATCTCCATCTTTTTACAAATGGATGCCCTGCCACTCAGAATATTATTTTCATTACATATATGCGTTCGTGCTCATGTGTAGTCATACTTGACAAGTGAGTTCCACGGCAGGTCTCGTTATAAGTCTCATGTGAGATTAGATCGGAGTCTGCTATCATGGAGGAAGCACGCATAGGGAGTAATGTGGGTCACTTTGTACCGGATTGCTCGGCCGTATCAGTCATATCTGGGACATTTTTCTATCTCATCCTATAACTAATGGAACATTTGTAAATATAAAGCATTATCGCTTGAGACAAAAACAGCCCCTTTTATCCGCTGTTTCCCAGGGCGAACAGCCAAAGTAGAAGTGGACATTATATAAATGGACATCTGAAAACGAATGACGACACCAGGTGCTCGCGAAAAGTATAGGCATGACCTTCCCTGAGGTTAACAACCCCAGCAAGTTACTTGTCAGTGGGGGTTGTTCCTGAGAGTGTTCGGAAATGGTCCAAAAAATTCTGGAGAATAATATTTTGCCTGAGGTTTAGAAAAACTAATGATAAATATTTTTCAGAAAATAATTATTGTGCGTCTTGAAGTAAAACCGTTTGTCTCCTCGACAGGAACTGACCCATTGAAACCAATCACCGACTTAATCAACACTATGTTAGTATGCGATCTGTTGCCAACCGCAGCTTTTCCATCTCCCCCGGTCATAACGGTTATTGTTACGACGTCACCTGCATCTCATACCTCGTCAACATCGTCCACAACCGGTACCATAGCGACATCATCAACTCAAGGCTCTCATCCACTCATTCTACATCTAGCCCCAAGTCAATCAACCCCTAGTCCCAACCTTCGCACATAAAATAACAGATTATATGCATCAGCATATGTTCAACTATCTCCCCTTGGGCGTCTTTGCATTCCACCCAACCCTCGACATGAGTACCCCGTGGGCGGCATGCTGCTCCTGTAGCACAAATGTACTCCTTACACGTCTTCATCAAAGGGTGCTGTTGGGTAGTCTGGAAGTAAGAGCTGTCGATCGTTACGCCCAAATACGAAGTATATTCCTAAATGGGTACAACATGTCCAATTCCATTGATGGTGTCCTCATGGTGCTAGATTCCCTGGAATCGTTTGACAAACTGTGCTACATGTTGATTGTGGGTGATCCTTCTCCGATATCGTGAATCACTGGTTTGTCTATTCATTCTTTACTGGCCGGGGCTGGTCGGATAGCCTTGTGGTTAAAGCGGTGGCTCGTAACACCGCAGGCCTAGGTTCGATTCCCCACATGGGTACAATGTGTGAAGCCCATTCCTGGTGTCCCCCGCCGTGATATTGCTGGAATATTGCTAAAACGGCTTAAAAATAAACTCACTCACTTTACTGGCTGATTTGATATTGATGAAATATCGCTGACTGACTGCGATTCAAACCATCGCATTCTCCTTCACAAAAGATTTCCAAATGGCATATATATCCCCCTCCAGGACATAACACCATATATACACCACGTGATCTCCCATTGTATCCGTACACAGTGTGGCGTTTACCTTCATGGCGGGGTAAAGGGATTTAGATTTTCTTGGAGAGAGGCATAGTACATAGTTAATGTAACGTAGTCTTATCAGATCTCGTCATTCTGACATGACAGTACGGCAATTTAATGTCAGAGATTAAGCCTAATCGGTTTAAATGTGAAAACCTGGTATCAACACCGATTTCCAGTGCTTCAATCACATAATTTCCAACACCGGTTTACCGTTTATTCCCAAAAGAATTTGAGATTGGCACACGTCTCGTCTGCGTCGACGTTTTATTTAGATTTATGTATTTAGATTGGTCGAAAAGGAAATTGTGATACGTCCCTTTAGAACAGTGATCTGTTTTGCTGTCATATAAAGGTTACATACATCTGACTGTGAGGGCAAGATCGAGGTGGATGTGCAGGGTAGGCGCCGTGATGGTTGTTCATTCGGCGGCACAAACTTTGTGGTGGTGCCTATGTTTGCTGTCATGGAATACGAAAACATGTGTCACGTACATGTAGATGGAAATCCAAGCATCGCACACGCAGTCACGTCGTTATTGGTGTTATTTCCTGAATCATATAACATCCATATATATGTAAACTCGTATATACATACACAGATATAAGCACACACACACACACACAACACACACACATACATCAACACATACACACATATGCCTACACACATAACATCCACACACACATACATCAACACACACATATGCCTACACACACACAACACACACATACATCAACACACACATATGCCTACGCACATAACACACGCACACATCAACTCTCTTCACATACGCAAAGAGAGACAAAACACATACACAGATACAGGCACAACTCATAAGATTCATGACATTAACACTGGCATGCACACACACAGGCACCGAAGACACAATTGTCGGTCAACAGGAATAGATATTTTAACATTCCCACGTTGGTCTAATGTCTGTTACAGAATGCATACATTTGTTGTCCCTCGTTACCTCAAACCCAACTTTCCCGGACTCGAACCTGACAGTTTTTCCCAACCTGTAATATTTCCACCCGATCCACCCACCTCCTACACGTGATTGTCCACCATGTGTATTGGGGTAGGTGTGCTCACCACCTGACCCCCACACTCCCCACCCCTCACTCACCGCCTCTATTTGTCAATTGTCTAAACTAGCCCACCTTTATTAACTACACCTATTTTCCTTCTCCAGCTGGCTGTTAATCTCACCATCGATCTGTTGCCGACAACCACCCCGCCTGATACTGTGCTCGCCTCTCTCCCGGCTTCAGTCGGTCGGATACACAGGCAACCGTGACAGTGGGGACTGCATACTCCCAGACTGAAGGGTCTTACATCCATGGTGAGTACCAGAATATAGTGACACATGTTGCAGGTGCGTTCCCAGTTATCCGTTCATCTCAAGGCTATCTGGTGTATTACAGACACGTTAGCTTTTACTAGTTGGAATTTTCTTTATAATCATCTTTAGGTGTTACCGAATTTATGATTGTTGTGAATATTCACATTGGTCAATTAGGGAGTGACATATTTTTGAGAATTAAACATCAGATAGAGGACTAAGGATCTATTTTCAAGTTTGGTGTTGAGCCGTTCATGGTCCGGGCTGTCGGTGCAGCGAGTTCCTGGAAACCAGGAAACTTCATCTCAGTTACAGGCTGTGATAGTGTAACGTTGTCTGTATTCGTATCTGGAGGTTTGGGAAAAAGCATTTCTTCTCTACTGTCTACATGACGAGATTTAATTAAAAAGGCTTGTCTACTACACAGTAACTTTATAATCTGCTGTCTTTTAATGTACCCATACAAGTTTCAGAAGTGTTGGTAATGCGTATACGATTTCCAGCCCGTTCTGCATAAATGTTCATATATATGACTGTCATTTTATCGTCTTGTCTGTTATCGACTGACTGAATGGCAGCAGCAACTAAATTATTAAAAGGTCTTATTGAGTGAGTTTAACGAAACTTTCAACAGTATCTGGGTTATCTTACGCCGTGTCAGCTCAGGGTAGATGGAAGACCCGACGTGAGACGAATCTCATGTTTACTGTGAGGGGGCATTCACGGTAAGAGCATGGTGTAGATAGACCGGGAATCAAACCCACGACTAGCGGATCCTGGCAGACAGAGTGACGCAACGGTGCTAGTAAAATGTAGGACCTTTGGTCTCTTGGGAGCCCGCAGGCCCGACACCCTGACTAATGTATCTAGGTGTGCCAGTATATACGTGTATGGACTGTGACAAATGTGTACCATCTGGTGCATTGACATCTGCAGTAGGTATAACTGATACATTATACTGTGTTAATAGTTGTATACAATAGTGTTGTATATTGATTAGTGAGTGATGGTTGAAATACAAAATATACTATACAAAAAGAAACGCACAGGCGTTTCGTATTTTTTAAAATCTATCAATTACCTATTGTGTTAAAAAATATCGTCAAAATATGTAACAAAAATTTTGATAACATGATTTTACACAATTGCAAAAGTAAAAAAAAGACTTTACCTGAAAATTTTGATTTTGATGAAATTTCTTACAAGGATTAAAAAGGCAAACCGAAACATGAGTCTCATTAACCTATTCAGACAATGACCTACTTTTCAGCCGATCCGAATTGTCTCGTGTGAAAGTGAAAAGAGACACCACAAACAACTATGGTTACATTGAATTCCAATTTCGTGTTTCAAAAGAAAATGGTATTTACAAGTACATTTTAATTTCAAAATTTACTAACATCGTATTTCTATATTTTATGGCGAGGTGTAGGCAGCATGACCTTAACTAAGACGCCACAGACTGCCCCTGTTCGATAAGGTCGTAAAATGATTCAGAATTCATCTGGCTCAATGGTTACACCTGTTATGTGTTTTTTGCGCTTATTCAGTGTAGTTTGGTAACGCACAATGTGATTGATATAATATCAAGTCCGTACCAGATCGCCAAACTTTTCTAGCCGCAGAGCCTCGTTTTGAGATTACCACGATTTCCAGATTTCCGTTTGTCAGAGCACGATGACAGAGCTGCACGACGTGTTTGCAAGGATTAGAAGGAGCGTAGTGTTGCAATATACAAGTGGTTAGATGTATCAAATAATACTGATTAATATTTATGTATCCAGTTGAATGAATTGGTCTCAAAATTCTGGACTGGTTAATGTACTAAGTTGCGCAATAAGACGGAACCCAGTCAGCAGGAACGAGACTGTTGTGTGGTTTATACGTTTCCTTTTTTGAATAGTATATGACGTATCTGGTTCGTGGTGATGGTGATGTGTTGGGGGGAGGGGAGATTTGAACAGATCAGCGTCATGGTTCTCACACAAGCCGTGGTTGTAGAAGTTTTACCGCTTGCTGAATTGTAGCCCACTAGCATATGTCACAACTGAGGGCTGACATAGGTTTGAATCCACGATGATCACATCACATCTAAATAATAACGACAGTGACCGTAAACTAAAATTACAATCATATTTATCACAATACAAAGTGTAATTATAACACTATTCGACAGAAGGCGTTAAATGTAATTAAACATATGCTCAAGCTGCATACTGGAAAGGAACACAAACAAATATCTATATTAGTCATGTATGATATTTTTGGTTTCTATAGCAACGGCGGTGTAATTAGTCACATATGTTGATAGTGTACAGTGTAATTAATATGTCATGGAAATAGATTGATTACAGATCATCTACACAGCTGTGTCTGTGGTGAATCACTGACAACGACACATCTGACAGATCTCACTGACAAATAATGGATAATTTCAGTTGATATTTTAGTCAGGATTCCAGTGTGGGTTTTCTTGTTTGTGTGTCCCAAAGACAGGTTTGAGAAAAGAAAGTTTCAAAATGAAATTATTTTTAATAAAGTTAACATGATACCATCCATAACCATTATCAACCTCTGCTAAAACTCGACTTTACCATGGGCACGTGTTAATGAATCTCTATCAAATCATCATAACACCAGGTGTTCGCAGAAGGCGAGTGTATCCTGCCCCACCAGTGACACCCGTCACAAACACGTGCAAAGGCAAGTCACTCGTTCAGTATGAATCAACATAGGGATCACACATTGTTACAATGGAACATGCAGTATGAGTCAACATAGGGATCACACATTGTTACAATGGAACATGCAGTATGAATCAACATAGGGATCACACATTGTTACAATGGAACATGCAGTATGAGTCAACATAGGGATCACACATTGTTACAATGGAACATGCAGTGTGAAACAACATAGGGATCACACATTGTTACAATAGAACATGCGTGCAGTATGTTACAATCAACAGTATAGAGATCAACACACATTGTTACAATGGAACATGCAGTATGAGTCAACATAGGGATCACACATTGTTACAATGGAACATGCAGTGTGAAACAACATAGGGATCACACATTGTTACAATAGAACGTGCAGTATGAATCAACATAGGGAACACACATTGTTACAATGGAACATGCAGTATGAGTCAACATAGGGATCACTCATTGTTACAATGGAACATGTCGCTGACAGGGTGTGGTACGGGTATCTGGTCGGTACAATCATTGGAACTGCTCTCCACAAGATGGGTTCCTAAACCAACGGAACTAGATATCCCTTGTTCAGATTTCTGAAATCTTGTAGGCGGATAGTAACTCAAGATAAGACATGCGTTCAACACTCTCGCCCAGTCATCATTTCAACTTACACAGAGGAAATATTACGCTTAATTGTCAGACTATCCGAGGGCAATACGCAGTTATTGAGAGAATCTAGCAAGCTTATTCAATTTGTGTTTGATTTCCAGTCACACACATGTTAAACGCATTTATTGATGTCATCAGTGTCTTGCTATTCCTATAACAGGAAAATATAAGAAAGGACCATCCAAGACCAGCGTAAATCTGGTATAGAATGCCAATGCATGGTCATGATTTTATATATGTATTTTCGGTAGGAGCCTTAAAACTGAATAAAGCTGCCTGTTGTTTTCTTATTGTAACTAGTATCTATGTGACTATTTCTGGTGATTATTGTGACAGCAAATTCTTTGAGGCGCTCGTATAATGTTCTTTTGTGGTATTGACCTCGATACAGAGTGGCCTCCCTTGAATTTGTCGGTGGTATTAACCACCCCACAGCCTGTTATCTTTATCAATCTACCTGTATCGAGAGTTCAGGCGTGAGGAGCAAACCTATGTACGGTTGTCTGGAAATTACGACCTGATCCTTGCGTAATATCTTATTGGACGGGATCAGAATATACCAGTATAGCAAGTGCTTTATTGGAGTCTGAGACAAACATTGGACATTTTTAGTGCACTGAATTAAGGACTAACAGACCTGTATATCACTGGTGCCATATGTGTTGACACAGTGTATTACCTTCTATTGTAGTGAACGTAGTATGTCCGTGAATGTCAATATCATTTGGTGATCTTTCATTGATCTTAGATAGTTATTTACTGTTTTTCCCAAATTAGTTTTAAACGTACCGGTTTCTGCGTTAACCTTCGGTAATCAACACAATTGATTATTTGTCTTTGGAATGTGCCCGGTGTCACGTTGTGAAAGCTTTACCACACACGCAACCCGAAGGAGTCTCTCATCAACCTATTCGATCAATGCTACTATATTTTACTCTTTACACCGTGACAGCCTTCCTTACGAAAATAATAAACCAGCAATATAATTATTGTACCACTTTCTGATTTCCTGATATTATATGCTATGCAACCTACCCCATTGATAGATGATGGTTGCATGTCAGTATGTATTAAATTGGTTCAGTCATTAAGGCAGGAGGCAGGTATAGTTGGAAATGTAGTTAAAAAACGGACAACGAGCTTCGAGTTTGTTGTCGACCCGACTAAACCTGAGGTCTGTATTAATAATTAGGAGCATTTGTGATGTATTCTGTTTGCCATGTTAGACATTCTAAAGCACGTCCAATTGGAAAAACAAAACAAACTAGACCATCTCCCTCATGTTGGGATCATATCTATTTTATTAAGATAATGTTCATTTCATGAATCATTCATCAAAGAATATCTGAGAGAAAAAGTGTTTCATCATCTTCGAGTACTGCAACTTGAAAGAAACAAACAGCCCACAAAAGCCCGTGATTCCTTCAGGGTTAACACGCATCTTAAAACGGTTTTCCAATCATGTCAGGAAAGTACTAAATCACTGATTGACAAAAACTACACGTATTCCACTTTCTTTAATGTTTAGGTCGATCGTTATTCATCCTGTTCCTGTAGTTTGGCTGATTTGTCATTGTGCGTTATGTAACCAATCACGCGGGCTCCTCATGTTGGAGAATCGTTGTG